AGAGGCTTGTACACGTGACTACCAGGTTTTGGGGGGTTTTATTAAGTTGCTTATATTTTATTTCCGCACTTTATTGTAATGGTTGAATTTTAGACTGACTTGTCTTGGTGGGATAAGACGAGTGCCATCACGTCCATTTTTGGGTCGTGACAACAAATTACACTAAATACATGTATCTACAGAGGCAAGTCCACATGAAATCTGCCTAGTGATCGAGCACCCATTAACCTTGTTACGGAACATATATATTGATGACCAAAATCATCGTCAGCAGATGCACAATAAAGTTGTAGCATTGGTATTAAATTTGAAGGAAGATTATTGACAATGTTTAAAATAATTAAACATATGGTAATTTTTTTTTATATATATTTATATAAATAAATGATACAAAATACAACCATGAATATTGCAAGTCTTCAAAATTAAACCATATATATATATTATATCAAAAGAAATACATATTACTACCAATCACGGTATTTTGTATATATAATTTGCTGAACATCATTATCAAAATAACCTAAATTAATACCATCGGCCTTCACTTGCCAATGACAATTAACAACATAGTCTGGAACATGACCATCAGTAACACAACCAGCTAGTGTGTTAAATACATCAAAGGATAAATCTTTTCCATTCCACCAAAAATGACAAAAGAATAACGTAGAAGGAGTTGCGCAAAATGACCAATGATAATCCGACCCTATAGCAGGATAATGATAACCAAGATCATTGTCACCAGATGCACAATGAAATTCTAGCTGAGGAGTATTTTGAGGAAGATCATTGTGAATGTCAAATGAGGGTTTACAACCATGAATGTTATAGGGAATGATAAATAATAATAAGAGGATTAATAATTGTGCCATTTTGAGAAAATTGATAGAATATACTATATTGTATATATTCTTAGTTTTGTATATGGAATACTTTTGTTCAAGTGTTTTGACGTTGTATTTATGTAGGAGAATTTTTCTTGCTTTTTGCTTGGTGACAAATAGTATGGAAAATATTTGTATTGTTTTACGTTTTTTCCTATTTAGGGAGCAAAACATCTTAAGAAAAAAATTAATTTATTTTTATATTCTTTATATGCTTAATTAGGATAATTTTTTCATTGAAAATCAAATGGGATTATTCTTATAGAATACCTTTTTTTTATATGGAAAAATAATAGATATATCACCAAATGTGTTCTCCATGATATAATCACAAAATCAACCAGATTAAGAAAAATATTATTGATTAAATTTTATGGAAAGCAATTTAATACTTTACTCTTTTTAATTTATATAAATATCTTGAAAATCTTATGGTAAACAATTTAACATTTTACTCTTTATAACTTATATAAATATTTTGGTAATCTTATGGAAAGCAATTTAATATTTTACTCTTTATAATTTATAAAAATATCTCCAAAACATTATGGAAAGCACTTTAACACCTTACTCTTTATATTATTATAAAAGTTTATAACTTATACAAATATCTTAGAAACCTTATGGAAATGAATTTATCACTTTACACTTTATTTTTTTTAAAAATAATTGTACGATTACTAAAAATCATAATGATTAATAACTTTAAATATTTACAAAATCATATTAAAAAATTAATTAACTTTCAAAATTTTATTCTTTTTACGTAAATTAAAATAAAGATAATAAATATATGCAAGCACAAGCTCCTGTATCTAGTTTGAGTACTAGCTTCAGAATAATTCTTTCAAAAGGATATACAAATTATTTCATACCTTTAAAAAATCTAATATTATTTTTTAACTATTATTTCATTTAACTCAAATTAGTGAATGTAATTGAAAATTCATACTATATATCCAACAACTTATTGAACACATCCATATACATAGAATGAAATACAAAAATAATAAATAAGAAATAATTTTTACTTTCTCAAATATAAATAAAAGCTAATAATATTTCTCATGATGATAACCAATCAGCATACTTTGTGAGATTTAGTTTACCTAAAATTTCAGTACCAAAATAGAAACCATCTTCTTGAACTCCATAAATACATGTGGTAGTATGTTCTGGAACAAATTTATCCCCACCATCGATACAATAACGTAAATCGTTAAATACATCGAATACATTTTCTTTAAAACCCCACCAAAAGTGACAAAAATATAATGTGGTTGCCCAAAAATTATCTTCAAATGTCCAACTATAATCCTTTCCCATATCGGGATATTGATGGCCAAAATCATCGTCACCAGATGCACAATGAAGTTCTAGCATGGGTGTATTTGGAGGAAGATTATTGAGAATATGTACTTCGTATACCTCCGCAATATTGAAGGGCATGATAAATACCAAGAAAAGGATTTTCACTAAAGAGGAAATCACAGTGAGAGTAAAATTTTAGGATGAAAAATATAGTTTTATTCACATTTTAAGAGTTTTGATGGTATATATATATATATATACATATATAGTCATATCACCACAAATTAATTTGGTAAGTGATTTTTTTATTTAAGAAAATTCAATGTGAAGGTGATTTGTAGCCTAAATAGATTTTTCATATAATTATCTTTTTAAAGAATATTAATTATTTGTTAACAAAAGTGTATCATAATTGATGACAAACACAAGTAGATTATGAAACGCATTTTTCAAAATCACAACAAATTTGATACTTGATATATTTTCTTTTTAGGGAAAATTAGTTTTTAGACATACATTCATGTCATATATTTTTTTCTATATTTGCAAATAATTAATTACATATTGTCGACATCTCTCTCCATCTTTCTGTAACGGATGATAAGGCTCCACAATATTAGGGATTGCGGGTTCACCAATGTTACGTTAGTAGAGTTCAGTATCGATTAATTTTTATCACTACTTAAGAGTTTCTATCATATATATTGAGGAACATATACTTAAATATATGCATTTTTGTTACCAGATATACTAAAAATGGAGAAAGGGGAGTGAAATAATCATGCATATTAAATACATGCAAATCATATTAGATACATAGACACACACATATACGTAATCGTTATGGTTATGGTTCACATCCAGATACATAGGAAAGTGGCGAGGGAGATGGGAGCCACGAGTGGGATTTGTAATGTATGTGAATCTACTTGGATTCAATGTATACAGAACAAATTAAACCTAATTTGACTTCATGTATCCTGAGATACATGTATCTAGATGCACAAAAATATTGTAAGATTCGTAATAAGGTAAACTAGAATATATTTAAATAATTAGTTCGTAAACTAGTGAGATTTCTATAAGTTTTTCTATATTTAGAAAATTCTTTTTGTTTAACTAATGCTATTCTTAATTTTTCTTTAACTTAGTCTAATTCAGATTCATATTACAAGAAATTTATTTAATTAAAGAAAATTTAATTAAAGAAAAAATAATTTCTATCGAGAATTTTCTATTCAAAATGTTCCTTCACGATACAAAAACAAACTAAGGTAAAGTCATCTTCATAACTACTTTTGAACAACACCATCCTTGCTAATATATATAAACAACCCAATCGCAGTCAATATTTATCGATAATCAAAGTTATTATGATTAATTAATTGTCACTAAAGATCATTTTTCATGTAATGACCCGAAAGATCATTTTTTAAAATTTTATAAAATTATCAGTTCACCCTTACCTGAGTTAATTTTGATTTGTCAGTAAAGTTGGGTTGAAAAGTTCAGAGCTATTCTTTAACCTCAATTATTTAATTGACAGATATATTTATTTTAAGTAATAAATTTAGTTTGTGACTAATGAGATAAGTCCATATGTATAATTTATTAGTGTGGTATTGTTTGAAACTATAAGAAAAGAACAAAAGGGTTGTCATTATTATTTTTGGGTATTGTACGGTAAGAGAAAGGAAATTGAATTGGGGGATAGCCCATCAAAGTGGGTCATATTTTATTATCGCATTATGATCTAATGTTTGATACATTAAAATTTTTAAGTAATTAAATATCGGGTGTATTATATTATACTATTAGAGTTATAGTGTTTGGGAGAAATTATGATTTAACCCTAAATTTAAATTTGAGTAATATGAGAATTGAAATATTAATTGGCACCAAAAATTACGAACAAGATTATAAATTTGGATGAATTTTTTAAGGCCAAGGTTAAATACATAGTAATGTGAGTGTTGCTAGTTTCAAAATCTTATTGTGATTATTATGTGAATAGATTGCATTTATTTGGGAGCTCAACGAAAGTGGAAGGCTAATGTGGCAGAGTGAATTCCTAATTATTCGAGGCAAGTGGATTTCTAAACTCTTGTTAACTGTATGGAATGCGTGTATTTCTTTGGGGTATATGTTTGGGAGTAACGGGATTGGTGGTGGGTTGACTTGTCCACATTGATTAATTCTAACAATGAACAAAAAGGGATAACAAAAGGCAATGTGATTAATTGTTTATGTGTGATGTGTTGAGAAAGGTCTGAAAGCTTGTTGAATCATTGTTGATGTGATACCATGTTTGTGTTGTTGTGAATTATACAATGTTATGAAAATGGTCATCTCCTTATTATTTATGTGAACATGTCATTTACATTATTCTGAGACATGGTTGTGACAAGTGTTATGTGCATTGAGAAAGAATGAGAACTTAAAGTGGATGTACCATTTCGAGTGACGTATCGCGCGCCGCGATGTATATTATATTTCAAGGGATGTATCGTGCGCCGCGGATGGTTACTATTATCGAGGGTCGTGTCGTGCGCCGCGATAGATGCATGGACAAATATATCTCCCATGGGTCCATATTTGTAGGTTATGAGCTTGGATTTTTATGGTACATGTCATTCTCTTCTTTTCCGATGCTTCTTGGAGATTTGTGAGGTAGTTGTTTGTCGTCTCAGCAGACTTTCTTTCTCTTAGTTATGATCTTGTTCTATTCTAGAAACAAGTTCATTTGAGACTAGTGTTTGCTTTTAATTCAATTGTAATAATTTAGGGGCTTGTACACGTGACAACCAGGTTTTGGGGGTATTATTAAGTTAATTATATTTTATTCCCACACTTTATTATAATGATTAAGTTCTAACTAACTTGTCTTGTTAGGATAAACCGAGTGCCATCACGCTCAGATTTTGATCATGACATTTCATATAATATCAAATGGTATTTATTGGGATCTTATATCCATGATGAATCTATTTTCAAGCAACATTATTCTGATTGAGATTAACTATTACCAAATATTTAGTAATAATATTAGGTGTGCTTTTTCAATTTCTGATTTATTATAAAATCATTTTCTTTCTTCGATATTTAAATCAAATCAATAGATATATGAAGAAATTATATGTTAAGATAATTATTTAATATCATATTCGAGGGATTGTGTATCTGATTTAACTATTAAAATATATGATATAATTATTAAAAAATAATATTATAAGTAATATTTTTAAACTATAGATTATATATATATATATATATAT